AGCAATTAGGCAAAAATGAATGAATGAATGAATGAATGAATGAATGAATGAATAAATAAATAATAAAAAGGCATCCAAATTGGAAAGGAAGAAGTAAATCTGTCACTATTTGCAGATGACATGACACTATAGGAATAAATTTAACCAAGGAGGTAAAAGACCCATACTCTGAAAACTATAAGATATTGATGAAAGAAATTAAAGATGACACAAATAAATGGAAAGATATATTATGCCCATGGATTGGAAAAATCAATATTGTTAAAATGTCCACACTACCCAAAGCAATCGGCGGAGTCAATGCAATCCCATCAAAATACCAATAGTACTTTTCACAGAACTAGAACAAACAATCCTAAAATTTGTATGGAGCTACAAAAGACCCCGAATAGCCCAAGCAATCTTGAGAAACAAGAACAAAGCTGGAGGTATCATGCTTCCTGATTTTAAACTAAATTATAAAACTATAGTCACCAAACAGTATGGACGACACAAAAACAGACACACTGAAATAGACCCACACATACATGGTCGATTCATCTATGACAAAGGAGGTAAAATATATATAATGGAGAAAAGACAGTCTCTTCAATAAATGGTGCTCAGAAAACTGGACAGTCACATGCAAAAGGATGATACTGGACCACCACCTCATACCATATACAAAAATGTAAAAAATGGATTAAAGCCTTAAATGAAATAAGACCTGAAACCGTAAAACTCCTAGAAGAAAGCATAAGCAGTAAGCTCTTTGACACTAGTCTTAGCAGCATATATATATTTTAATTAGTCTTCTCAAGCAAAGGCAACAAAAGGTAAAATAAACAAATGGGCTTACACCCAACTAAAAAGACTTTTCACAGCAAATGAAGCCATCAACAAAATGAAAAGGCAGCTTCATGAATGGGAGAAGATAGTTAAGAATCATACATCCAATAAGGGGTTGATACTCAAAATATATAAATAACTTACACAACTTAATATAAAAAAATTTTAAAACAACCCAATTAAAGAATTGACAGAAATTGAATGGGCATTTTTCCAAAGAAGACATACAGATGGCCAATACACACATGAAGAGATGCTCAACAGCACCAATCATCAGAAAAATGCAAATCAAAACCACAATGAGACATCACCTCACACCTGTCAGATTGATATTATCAAAAAGACAAAAAAATAACAAGTGTTGGCAAGGAAGTGGAGAAAAGGGAACCTTCGTACACTGTTGATGGGAATGTAAACTGGTATAGCCACTGTGGAAAAAAGAATGGAGTTTCCTCAAAAAATTCAAAATAGAACCACCAAACAATCCAGCAATTCCACTTCTGGGAGTTTAAAATTTTTTTTTTCAACGTTTATTTATTTTTGGGACAGAGAGAGACAGAGCATGAACGGGGGAGGGGCAGAGAGAGAGGGAGACACAGAATCGGAAACAGGCTCCAGGCTCTGAGCCATCAGCCCAGAGCCTGACGCGGGGCTCGAACTCACGGACCGTGAGATCATGACCTGGCTGAAGTCGGACGCTTAACCGACTGCGCCACCCAGGCGCCCCCCACTTCTGGGAGTTTATCTGAAGAAAATGAAAACACTAATTCGAAGAAATATATGACCCTATATTCATTGCAGCATTATTTATAATGGGCATAGTATGGAAGCAACCTAAGCGTCCATTGGTAGATGAGTGGATAAAGATGTCATCTATATATACAATGGCATATTACTCAGCCATCAAAAATGAAATCTTGCGGGGCGCCTGGGTGGCGCAGTCGGTTAAGCGTCCGATTTCAGCCAGGTCACGATCTCGCGGTCCATGAGTTCGAGCCCCACGTCAGGCTCTGGGCTGATGGCTCAGAGCCTGGAGCCTGTTTCCGATTCTGTGTCTCCCTCTCTCTCTGCCCCTCCCCCGTTCATGCTCTGTCTCTCTCTGTCCCAAAGGTAAATAAACGTTGAAAAAAAAATTAAAAAAAAAAAAATGAAATCTTGCTATTTGTGAAAACATGGATGGACCTAGAGGGTATTATGATAAGTGAAATAAGTCAAGCAGGAAAAGATAAATACTGCATGCTTTTGCTAATATGTGGAATCTAAAAAAACAAAACAAACAAACAAAACAGAGGAGAAACCAATTCACAGATACAGGAAACAAACTTAGTTACCAGAGTGGGGAGGGGGTTTGGGGGTGGGTGAAATTAGGTGAAGGGGATTAAGAGGTACAAACTTCCAGTTATAAAATAAGTGACACGTGGGATATAATATACAGCGTAGGGCATATAGCCAATAATACTATAATAATTTTTAATGTTTATTTTTGAGAGAGAGAGCAAGCAGGGGAGGGGTAGAGAAAGAGGGGAACAGAGGATCCAAAGCAGGCTCTGCGCTGACAGCAGAGAACCCCATGGGGGGCCCAAACTCAAGAACTGGGAGATCATGAATCTGAGCAGAAAACAAGAGTTGGACACTTACCCGACTGAGCCACCCAGGCGTCCCTAATATTGCACTAATTTGTATGGTGACTGATGGTAACTAGACTTATTGTGGGGATCATTTTGTAATGTATAAAAATATCAAATCACTATGACGTACAACTGAAACTAATAGGATGTTGTAATTATAAAAACATCATGCTCCATAGTATGCTTTATGTTTAGCGTAGTTACATAAGTTTCCTTTAATGTTACTTCTATGACTCTAATAATTTACTTAAATCCAAGTTCTTTGATATTTAAATCTTAGAGGGCATCACTAATTCTTGAACATAAAGATGAAGAAATTAGTACAATTATGCCTCCTTACACATCTTACACATTCCTCTATTTTTTTGTTTCTTATATTATTTTTATATTACATGGTTTACAATGCTTACATTCCATTTTGTAACAGGTTGCTAGGCTTCATTTATATGACTTGGTTCTATATTTGAATTGGGTCAATATTAAACTTGAAAAAAGGAAGTTTTACCTGCTGATACTATTAAGTCAGGGAAGCATGATCTTGGGAAACTGGTAGTGCCCATTTGGGTTTGTTGTTTCAGAATTTCTGCCCAGAGTTTACCTCTATGTGGGGGGCCCATCACCACTTAGCTTTAGGAACTCACATCTTGGGATGGGCTGATCACACAGGTCAATAAGGTCCACAGTGCAGCCCTATGTAGATCACAGGTCACTTATTTGGTGACTCATCTCTGTTCAATAAATTCTGCTTGCTGCTTCCCTTTCTCCCTGTTACCTTACCACATCTAAAAGCTATTCTCCAGTGTTAGGAATTAGCAGGGTAAGAGGAGATGGATAATAAATACAACTATCTACAGAGGTATTCCAATTACTCTCTCCTACCACTGAAGTGTAGAATTTGACCCTCACATTCTCCCTTCCCCCGCCTATGATTCCATTGCAGTTATGATAAAGAGAGAAAAAATGTTGGTTAGCCTCTTGGGGTACTCTAATTTTATTTAAGAGAAATTTATACTTTGGAGGACAGCAAAGTTAACTTTTGGCATTCTCTTTGGATTTGGAACAAATTTCTCTGTATTTTCAGGCTTTTTTTTTAATAGCTTATGGTTTTAAATTTTAGATCTTTTGACAAGTTTCACGGGAAGGAGAAAACATCTGAATTCCACTATCTTTTTAAAAAGTACACGAGTCTGTTTGTGGAATCTTAATTCCTATATACTGTCTAGTCATCAGGGCCTGCACTATGACCACACTCCTTTGCCTCTTGGAACTTTGTGTTGTATTTTGACATCTGCAGGGCAATTCTATTCCCACTTCGCCACCTTCTCAACATAGCCTAGTTAGTTGCCAACAGTCATTCTTCCAAAGGAGCTTTATAATCAATTGGCAATTATGAAGCAGTCAGATTATAATTTTTGGTTACAAGTGCATTAAATTTTAAGATAAACTTGGAGGGATGTGACATTCACTTCAATAGGAAATTTGATTGGCTAAAAAAATAATGTGTAAATTTTGAACAAGAGGTAAAATCTATTGAAACAAACTAAAAAGGAAATTAAGTTGTGTCATGAGAACAGTGATCACGTTGGTCTTGTTCCTTAAAATAATCCCAGAATCTAGCACAGTGCCTGGCACAGACTAGGAACTCGACAATAGTAGAATAAGTCAACTATTGAATCGAATAAAAGTGAATTCCTTTTTTAGAAATAGCATTCTTGGTAAGAATTAGAATTAGAAATTCTAAAATAGAATTAGAACAGAAACTGTGAACACTAGTTGATTTAATAAACAAAAAAGTGCTTTGAATCAAATAATCCAAGAAAAGAAGGACATGAGCACTTATTACCCCACCCTTTTTCTTTCTGAAAACATCTGGATCTTTTTTTTTTTTTTTTTTTTTTGTGGTGCTTTGCAAATTTTAAAGTGGTATAATTTGGTTGGCTAGGGTGTTCCTGTTGGAAGAGGAGGAGGGTTGACTTATTTTTATGAGGGAACAAAAGTGTTGTAAATAGCTCAGTTCTCTACATTATAATTTAAACAATATACACTTGGGTTCTTCCATTATAAAGCATTACTTTGTATGCAGTTGATGGAACCACACATGCTGCAAATAATATATGGAAGTTTATGGGTAGAACTATCAAAATCTACCGAGAACTACTCCCTAATTCTTTAGGCTCCTGTGACAACTTATGTATCTAGGCATAGTTAATAGGTTTTTTTATACATTTACTCTGGAGTTTGTTGGGAACTCCTCCAGCTTTCCCTAATACAACAAGACAGTTTCCAAATGATGGTAAGGGACACTCTGCCATGTTAAGGGCTAAAGATCCTGACACTGAACTGTTTCTGGGATCCAGTAAAGCTTTCTCAGATACCTGACCTGAGTGGGATCGAAATGGAAGACAGACTCCTTTATGGTCCAAAAAGCTTGGGGCAGTTATTTCCCACCACTTTTGGGTGAGGCAATCAATGCCAAGCTACATCAATATCAAGATATTCCAAAATAGGTTAGTTTCAGTTTCGTTTTCTCTGCTTTCCTTTCAGCTCTGGAATTTTGCCTCTATGTTGCTGCCATGACTATAATGGATCCATCCAGCTGGGTATGAGTTTTTTGTGGGCATCCATAACCACATGGGTTTGAACAGCAGTCACCAATTCTGTATTATGTACACCCACATACCCATGCATTTCTCTTGTTTCAGCTTTCCCATGTTTACCACCTGTGGAGTAGGCAATACCAAACTTAAAGTGTCTTGTCTCTTAGGCAAACCCATTTATTTTACCAGAGAGAGGACCTTATGTAATGAGCAGCTAAAAATTAGCCGCCCTTCCTATCTGTCCCTCTTCTTGTATATTTTCCCCAAGAAGCAAAATCTTCTCCAGTTACTTTGTCCTTTCACCCTACATAAGGCACATACCTCATAGGTATGGTATCCTGTAAATACTCTCAATCAACTTGGTGCAATTCCCAATAATTTAGAATGTATATGTACTAATGACTTGATGAACAGGAGAACATAATCAACATTTCTACTGATTTTCTACAGAAACATAAAAGAGGTTTGACTGTTTATTCATTAAAAAAAGAATCAATTGGAGGCCTGGGCTACCTACTGAGAATAAAGGAAGGAACAACACAAATATGTTTCTAGGCCCCAGAATCTTTGATCCCAAGATTTCTAATCATGGGGCTAATGAGATCTATAAAATTCACGATCTTCTAACTTTATGGGAAGTAAGCTAATCAATCAACCAACCTATCATATGACACAATGTGATTGATGCTAAATAATGGAGATTAAGAGAAAAGAAAATGTTCTTTCTTCCATTTCCCTAGCATTTGAGCTCTTCCCAAGTTTCATTATACATAAGGTCCATAGTACTTTGGAGCATATAACTTGCATGGAACTGACTGTTTTAAATCTGTGTTAGGTAATTGGGAACACAAGGCATAAAAAGCTCTGCTAGAGTAGAAGTGCTTTGCCTTTTTGTGATTCTGGCAATTTTTTTTCTCTAAAACTATCATAAAACCAGTTCTTTATAAATAGCATAATGAATAAATATTATGAGGAACATGTTGAATTTAAGATGAATATTGTTGTAATTTTACCAAGCATGCCAAGATGTCAGTTGAACTTTATCAGGAAAACCCCCGCAAGAATTGGCAGGTAATTGGAATATGGATTATTACATGCTCAAGTGAATGGGAAAAGAAGAGAAGCACATAAAACAGGGAAGGCAGAGCGTTTTGATACTGCCTCCAACTTTATCTTTTATTTGAACAAAATACCCAGAAAAACTGGGGCTTTTAATCAGCTGAAAGCATTCTTACTCTTAAACGGCTTTCTCCTTGATTGCATACAAATTAGAGCATATCAATGACACAACATAACAGAATTAAGCAGAAACTAAAACACAGCACTACAACCATATTCAGAAACAGAAATGTTTTGACTGTGGCATCTCCAGAAAGAATTTGAATGTCAACATGGATTATGTATGTACTCTTCTCTCCCTACACCTGATCCCTTGATATCCCTATCCTGTTCCAAAGCTTCAATTACCACGTCTACAAAGGAGACACCCAGGGATAGAATAAGTATCCTTAATTTCTTCTCCACAACCAAAGTCTTGAATTCACACTACCCAAAGCACGTTAGTTGATTTTTTGCTGTCAAAGCCATGCTGCTAACAAGGATATAGTTGTTTTCTTTAAAACATTCCTTGCGGATGAATCTCTAAATCTCCATGAGATTTACTTCCTCTCTCTTCTCTATTGTGCATTGTGTGAAGTCCTGGTCTACATTGTGATTATTCCTAACAGGTAATTACTTATTTGTACAGTATTCAACAGTGACAGAGATAATCAGTCATTCATTCTACAAACGTTTATTGAACATGTGCCACTTACCAGGCTAATCTGAGACATGGGAGATAAAAAGGCAATGAAATCTAGCCCATACGCTTGAGAATTTTGTTGTCTATTTGAAGAGCTCTGACACATAAACAGGCAAAGTTACAATAGAATGGGAACAAATGCAAGAATAGAGGTAGAAACAATGTACCTTGGATAAAGGGAGAAACTAATTTCCTAGGGCAGTGTTAGGGAAGAAAAACTGATTTTTTTGATGTGGTTCTTGAAGGATGAAAAGGTGTCCCAGCTTAGAAAAAAAGGGTGACATTTGAAGCAGAGCAAATAGCAGGTGCAGTGGCCACGGAAAGATAATCTCTTACGGCAATTCATCAAAGATGGTGATGTTCAATGTGGCTAGAGCTTGGAGTACATGTAATAGCTGGTGCAAACAATTGTATTTTGGTCACATTTAAAATGTCCTTTCACGCCAAACTCAGGAGCTTGAGTTTTGTTTTTCAGGCTTATGTAAATATGTGGAATTTGAAGCAGGTGAATGATGGTAATAGATTTTTTTGAAAGGAAGATACCTTTGGGAGCTGTATGGAGGACAGCCTTGAGAAGCAGACTGAAGTAACATCAGATAGAAAACCAAGATGATCATCCAGATGAGCGCCGATGCAGATCTAAGCAAGGAAAGACGGTGGCTTGGAAAGGAGAGAAGGGGAAAGTCTCATGAGAAGTTTCCAAGCAAGAATTGGCAGGACTTGCTAATGGTTTAGATACAGAGTGAAAAGTAAATAGTATGTATCTTTGGAATTTTTGGCTAGGAAAACTGAGAGAATCATGAAAGACAGTAGGAAAAGTAGGCTAGCAGAGATGAAGGGGAGTTAGAACTTGGATGTGTCTGTCCCTTCAAAAAGTTTGTGGAACATCCATGTGGACATGTCTATTAGTTAGAACTATGAGTCTCTGCTGGGCAGAAAGATAAGGAATTGCATTCTATGAATCATTAGCAATTGATCATGCTAAAAGCCAGGGCCTAAACAAAAACAATAAACAAAAAACAAGTCAACCCATAGCTGCCCAGCTAGATTGAGGAAGGGACTCTAACTTTTGTTCCTAGATATTTTGTATCCGATGTCATATCTGACATATACAAAACTCACTTTTTTCCTGGGCTGGTAAAGACTGGGAAGGAATAATGGGCATTTGTTTATTTTCCAATGTACTCATGACCCCAGTGAAACAGCCTCCTACCAGATCTCCTTGCCTTCTGTCTTTCCCAAGGCTTTCTGCATGTTGCTCTCAGGCTATTTATCCTAACTGAGTACTGGTCTAATCATGTCTCGCCCACATTTTGCTCAAAAATCTTTCAAGCCCCTTCCCATTACATATAACATAAAGCCCTGCCTTTTCAGTGGTACTCTTTCTCTACCTCTTTCCTTTCCCACACCTCCTACATAGAATAGCATCAGTTGCCTTTCCTCAAACATGCCTCTCTTCATGGCCTCTCTTCAAGGTGCTTGTGTTCCTTCTTCCTGTTCATATCTGTCATGATCCTCTTAATCTCAAGGATGGCTCCAATACCAGCAACCTGTCCTCTCCACAGAGTGTGGGACCTTTATCATAGCACTAAACTGCATTATTCCTTAAATGAGTGCTTGTGGGGGCGCCTGGGTGGCGCAGTCGGTTAAGCGTCTGACTTCAACCAGGTCACGATCTCACGGTCCGTGAGTTCGAGCCCTGCGTCGGGCTCTGGGCTGATGGCTCAGAGCCTGGAGCCTGTTTCCGATTCTGTGTCTCCCTCTCTCTCTGCCCCTCGCCCGTTCATGCTCTGTCTCTCTCTGTCCCAAAAATAAATAAACGTTGAAAAAAAAAATAAAAAAAAATTAGTGCTTGTGATTTATATCACATAAACTGTTGAGAAAAGGGCTGCCTTGTTCATGTAAGGGCAGCCATGCTGCCTCTTACACAGTAGTTGTATGATAATAATAGATATTTCCTATACCTCATATTTTTGTTTCTTTCACCTTGTAAGGGCATATATGATAACTCATTTTCACTTGGTATATTCATTTTGATTTCCTGACCAAAGGATTTTGTTTTGTATTTTATTATTTTTTTTAGCCAAAGTGACTCCCTGCTTAGTTTTTTCCCTTTATCTCCATCCATTGCCAAGGCCAACAATAGATAAGAACCTCAGTGGCTATGGAATCAACCCTCCACAAGCCTGGCCCTCTCATTCTACAGTGGAAAATATCAAGAGAAGGAGGATAACCCATGAAAATTTAGTTCATTCAGATCATAACATATAGTTTCATATTTAGGAAAATAACCCCTTAGAAGTTTCTAGTTTCTTTGGGAATAGGAACAAATAAAAATATAGTTCAACCAAATGAGACTTGGGTTGATATATCGGAATAATAGAGAATCTAAGCTTTTAAAAAAATGTGTTAACATTTTTAGTTTTCCTCTCTGATAGAAGCAAATCTAGTCAATTTTCATGGACCTTAGACAGAATCAAAGATCAGCATGTTGAAGTTAATCAGTAACTTGAAATGCCTTTTTTCATGTGTTTGGAAGAAAGAAAAGGAGACAGATTGCTGTGAAAGGATAAGATGTTATTGCTGCAGAAATGCTTGTATCTCTACCAATTTTAAATGTCAGTTTTCTTCTCCCTAAGTTTATTTTACCTGTCTACTTGGATGAGATTCATAACTATCCATGTCTGAGGAATATTATCTTTCTTTTATACATTTTGTTGTAGAGCATTTCATCATACTTTGTGCACTGTATGTTGAAAATTCTGAAACTATATTACATCGCAGAAACAATTCCAGACTTAACTTGAAAAAGAGTCACAAATTGGACTGGAATGAAAATCATATATTTTGGAAAAGCAAACCAGTAAAAGCTGGACATGTTATGTTCTAAAATAATGGGTTACATTTCTTTAATCTTTGAAATAGTATCTGTGTAGTATTTTCCCATAAAGTATTACATATAGATAAGATTTGAGAATAGAATGAGATTTTGGAGGTCATCTAGACAAATGTATCACCTCATGGATAAGGAAATATTAAGCTTAGGAATGTTAAGTCCCCTTTGCAAGGTCACATAGAAATCAGCAGCAGAGCCTGAGAATTTAACTTGTCTGATTCCAGATCTGTGTCTCTTTTACTTATGCTACAATGTCTATATTATCTGCATTCAAAACTAGAATGTATATAGTAACAGTCTGATTTGACCGAAATGGAAACAATGGCACAGAGTATTAGAAATCAGAACTGTCCTCCCAAATCTGGACATTTGATAATTAACACCCAAGAATACTTGTTTCTTAGTTTATTTGTGCCCACAGTTTACTTTTTCAATGTAAATATTATGTTGTTTTTTTTTTTAAATCAATTTTCATGGTCTTCATTAAATTGGCCAAAAGAAAAATGAAGAAAACCAAACACTGGTGCTCCACACGTAGTGAACAGCTTTAATACCATTTGAATCTCAATCATCAAATATTAAGAATCCTTGGTACATGAAGTAATTCAAAGTCAAAGACAGTAGATCATTATGTTCCAGAAATTACGTGCTAAAATGTGTAATCACGCAGAGCGTCTTTTAAAACAAAACAAACAAGGAAACAAATAAGCACCTTTAGAGTTGCTGGTTGGGATGGAGGTGTGCACGGAGCAAAACTCACACTGCCATATTTCTGGTATCTTGATTCTTGGAGCTTATCATCAAAGTTACATCACCTTTATGTGAAATTGTGAGGGGGACAGCCTTCAGGAAGGAAAGCTTTGAACCAAGGTAAAAATATATAATGAGCAGTATGTCCATAAGCAGTCAGAAGAATACCTTCTCAAAGTCCTCTGAGTCTGGATTCATTATTCATGGTTTTAAATATTCAGGGTTCACAGGTCCAATCTGTGCTAGGCAATAATTCTGTGTTGCCCTGAGCCCCATGGTGTGCACAGCTGTTTGGAAAAGTCAAGAAGTACTGGTGAAGGTGATGCATGGCCGCTGGATTTTTTTTTTTTTTAATTTTATTCCTGTCGGACTTGAAAGGGTGAGAATTTGGAAGAGGGGAGAGCCTATGATGATAGTCCTAATTAAAGAAAATTATTCACTCTTACCAGCACTTAGTCATCTAAAATAGTAACTTCTTTGGATTCCAAACCTGAAAGTAACTGTTACTTGGCAATTTTCTCATAGGTCCCTGAGAGCAGTCTGTAAGCCGCTAACGACCAGTGGCTGAACCTGAGGGAGCTACAACAATGGCGGTGGAGGAGTGGAGAACATTACCAACTCCAGTCCAGTCCTGTTTCTTAAACCGTCTATTTTAATCCTGTCTATCCCTGCCCTTCCTGATGTTATGTTTCCAAGTAATCCCAGTCTTTCACGCTCTGAAAAGAGATGCGTCTCTGTGACCCTGCGTAGCATTATGGAAAGAGAGGGAGAGCTGAGTCTGTTTTGTCATTTCTGATGGTGTGAAGATGGGCAGGTGAGTGTTCTTTAATGCCTCTGTGCGTTACTTTCCTCATCTTGAGAATGGGATGATAAAATCTATCTTTTAGGTGTTCGTTGTGAGGGTTAAATGTGGCAGATATATAGTAGGTACTCAATCATTAATAGGAATAATTGTATATTCTCTACCCCTTTCTCAAATACCTGGTGAAAACTGTATTCAGGGGTGAGGATTCTTTTGCTCCAGCTCAGACCTCTTCAGTTCCACTATGTTTATCTTAGTCACCTAGGCAAATGGGTAGCAGCTGTTTTTGCATTAATGGTAAAGACAGAAGATTCTCTCCCCTACAGGACTCAGATGAGTTCCATTCTGAGACACCCCTTTGATCCAATCTCATGGACATTTTGTGTATTTATGCCACTGTCCTCAAAGCAAGCCTCTCCAAAGCTGGTGCTTTGCCCCTGCATACTCTTCCTTCTCGTTGACTTCCCTCCTAATCTTTACAATATATTCTATGAAAGTTTTATTTTATTGTATGTAACTCTCTCTTAGTCCCCATGCTTTGATTGAACTTTGCTTCTGCCACAAAGACACCAATTCTCTTCTTGTTATAAATTCCAGACTTGGTTACCAGTCCCTGTCTCGGTTGAATTCTCACTACTTCTACTGCTACAGCCCTCATCCCAGACGCCATCATTATTTGCCTGAAATGATACAATGGTCTATAAACCAGGTGTCTGCTTCTGCCTCTACATCTGTATCATGCATTGTCAGCATAGTAGCCAGAATGATCCTTATAAACCAAAGTCAGATCGTGTCACTTTGTTACTACTTCAGGGCAGGGACCATATCACTTTATCTGTGAATCTCTAATGCTTTTCATTGGAACTTAGCAGACTCTCCAAAAATATTTTGCTGAGTGATTAGAAACTAAGAGAAAAAAGATAAAGAAGAAATATGGCAATCATTGCCACATCCTTTCTCTCTCTCTCTCTCTCTCTCTCTCTCTTTTAAAAAAGCTTATTTATTTTGATAGAGAGAGAGAGGAGAAACAACAGGGGATGGGCAGAGGGACAGTGGGACAGAAGATGTGAAGCAGGCTCTGTGCTGACATCACAGAGCTCGATGTGGGGCTCAAACTCGTGAACCATGACATCATGACCTGAGCCAAAGTCAGATGCTTAACCGACTGACCCACCCAGGCACTGCCACGTCTTCCCGTAAACTCTTGAATATCTGTAACTCATTTTGTTTGTAACTTCACATCATTTTATTTGATAAACAAGCCCATCACCTAAAAGGTAAGCAGATGTGTACCTCGAAACCCAGAAAAGTTAAGGGATGTGCCCAAAATCACAATGGCAGTGAGATTAGGGGCTTGGGCTTGAATTCATCCTTCTTCCTCCAAACAGTATGTTCTTCCTGTTATGCCATATTTCACATGCAAGTTTGGAGGTCCCCAGGCTTGTCTACCCTAACATGTGGTTTTACAATACATGTCATTTTTGGGAACATCTTTGGTAAAGGCAAAAATCTGACTTTACAGGAAACTCCAAGGTAGACATGGAAGTGTGGCAGCCAGGAGGATCCTGGCAGAATCCAGGCAGAATTCTCCAAAGTCTACTTTCTGCATACCATCTTTAGAGTACACATCATTTAATACAGAACCTGGGCAACAGGAGTGATTATTATATGCTTATAAATAATCTCCACCAAAAATTTAAATCTGTAAACGTAAGTGGTTTTCCATCTAGGAAATCTGATTTTGTTCGTGTTTTCATTATTAAATTAGGTCTGGTAGAGTCTAGAGAAACATTGGCAGGAAACATCTAACTTACTAAAATCAGATATTCAAAAGAAGTTTAATTTCTGTCTGAATTGATAATATAAAGTAGTGAAGTTAAAATTCTAGAAGCTGTGTTCAGTAGATGAACTCATAGTGTGACAAGATATGGAAGTAACCAAAACAGATTTTCTCTACTTTGTAAATAATTATATTCCTTCAGACCAGTGCTAACATTGGAAGCGGTTGTGGGGCAGTGTGGGAAGGAGGAGGGAGTCAGAGTTGATTTTTATGTGCTTCCTAGAGAACGGCTTGTTAAAGAGCAGAAAACAATGATGACAACAGTGACAGGAAAAGTCCACCTTCCCAAAGTGTACAGAAGATTAAGATGGAATGGCAATACATTCTGGACAGCTTTTCTTGTTCCAAAGTGATAATGGTGGTCAAGTAGACTTTTATGATTCTTTGTAACTGATGGTGTTACGTGTCTACGTGGCAGTCTCAGTTTCTGCTACTTATCTTCCTAGTTTATTCCTTCACGTACTACTGCTTGAACTAGATTGAACTAGATTGTTCGTATTATGTCTTCATAGTCTCTCAGGCCCCACATCCCTAAATAATGGTCTCATTCTAAAAGGTGTTTAATAAATATTTTTGAGAAATTTACCTTACATTCTAAGAAGAGCGTGCTGTCTGTATTTGAGGTTTTCTAACTTCTGAAAATTGGACCCACATCAACACAAAACTGTTTTTTACACAATGTTTAAAAAAATTTTACACGTTGTTTAAAATGTGACATAATACAGTACAGACACAGGAAACCAAAACAGACTCCATGGTCATTTCATCCCCAACTTTAAATGAGACACCGTGAGTGTTAATCAAACTCAGGAAGGCAGATGCATCTCAGAATTTTGAGGGTCATAAAAGATGTTTTAGTCCTGTCAATTAAAGCAAAAATTGACCTTTCATTCTTCTTGATTTGATACTTGCTCTAAATCAGTAAGGTACTAAATTTACGTCACAAAGTGCATGTGGCTATTTGCAGTTGGTGCTAGTAAGGAAAACCAGGGAACATTGTTTGTATTAAATGAGACAACACATTTAAGAGTTTATCTCAGGTTTCTGCATAGCAAGTATTAAATAAAGGTTATAATTCATTTTCTAATTTCCCTATTTTCATTTTAAAAGTTTAGTAGTCATGACTTAGATTTATGACTTGAAGTGATATAGTATCTCAGTTGCCTCTATTACAAAAGCCAGCAGAGAGATTAAAGAGGAAACTAGCTGGAAAATATCTTTGACTAAAATATACATATCTGTTGTAATGGATTGCGCTCCCTCTCACCATATATACGTATACACATATGTATATGTGAATAGTATATATGTGTATATATACATATAAGTAGTACAGAGAAATGTGGTAAGATCTTGATCTATTAATAATAACTTACTTCTATTTACATTAACTTTTTTATAACCAAAAAGTTATCCTTTTCATGGGAATATTTCTCTCCTTTGGAGCAGATAACATACATCCATGAAAGTAGAGGAAATAAATCAGGCAAACTTATCTTCATCTTCTTAAATGTAATTATCTTCTGACATTTTGTTTTTACTTAAAATTTCCTAATAGCATATATGTAAGCATCTTAATAGAGGGTAAGAAGTGAGATGTGGATAGCCACATATCCACTTTGAATCTCAGCCACTGAATCTCTAAAAAGGAATATTAAGAACTCTTCTGCCCTCTTCTCAGAATGTTATTGGAGAATTAAACGCAAAACCTTAAAATTTCACATTTGCATGATTGCCACTTAAATTTCCATCAAATATAAAATGTTTGTTAGTGACATCACAACATGTAGGAAATCTGTATTAGTTGAACAGATTTTACAGCAGGTACATTTAGCTTTGTAATATAGGCATTTGTTTTTGAAATAAGCTTACACGTCCTTGCATTTTCTTTGGCATACATGTGTATGTATGAAATGTAACAAAGTAGTGAGGCAGGTTTCTTTATGAGTTCTAATTCTTCGATGTACACAGCCAATAACCTTTTGATTATCTAATATGTGGCAGGCATTGGGCAGGCTGCTGGTGATACAAAGGGAAAGAAGTTGTGGCCTCATTCTCAAGGAGCTCACAGTCTCAAGTGGGAGATGAACACGCAGAAACATAATTATATTACAGCGGGATGAGGCTGTTGGGGCCATGTGGACACAGAACTCGGGAGCACACAGAGACAGGGCCTCCCGATGCACCTGCGGTGAGGTGGCAATGACAAAGCATTCCTTAAGGAGGTAGCTTCTGGTCTGGATTTTGAAACATAACTAAGGTTCCACCACTGGAATAGGGTCTGAGGTGATGTGGGCATTCCAGTCAGTGGGAACAGAATCTACATGTGATGCTAAAGAGGCTTGAAACTGGTAAACCCAGTGTGTTGAAATAATGTCTCGTTGTTTTTAATTTATATATGTTGGAGTTAGAAAAACTGAATGTGTTTTCACGAATATGGCTACTTAAAACATCTACTACAGGATGACCAAATGAATCATTATCACAGTTCCTGCTGTGGCTGAATTTTTTGTTTCTTAACCTCAAACCCCATAGTAAACCATGTCGCATTTCCATGGGTCAACTCTTCAGTGATTGTTAATAATGTCATCTTTCACCTGGACCACTGCCCAGAGTCTCCACCCCAGGTTTTGACCCACTGTGTTACCACCGGAGATATCGTAAATCAGCTTAGAGCTTTTATTTCTACAAGACAGATGATCCTGTCACTGCTCTACTTAAAACATTTAAGGGCTCCCAATTTCCTACAATATTAAGTCTTACTGTGGGAGACAATGTTCTTCACAAGCTGGCCCCAATTTTTCCAATCTTTTCCCAAACTCTGTTCTTTCTACTCTCAACCAGGTTCTCTAGGCTTACACCATCACAAATTACTCACGGTTCTCCCCCATTCCATATCCTTGTCTAACTCATATCTTTGTACACAAAACAACGCAGTATGTTGAGACAAAGGGAACTTGCTATGGTTGGAGCTCCTGGGTGAGGGGAGAAGGGAAGAAGACGAGGCCACTGAAGCAATACATGTGGACTAGATGACAGAGAATTGCCAAGGCTATATAATAAGTCTTGGTTCTATTCTACATTCACAGTCCTTCTCAAACATTTTTGTCTATTCCAAAGTATTCCAAAGAAGGAAGAAGAATATTTTGCACACCCCACCCCCATGGGTTTGGGTACATTGCCTGAAGAAGGGCCATGATAAGTGAAAAATTTATTTGAAGTCTCCTTTCATATTTTTGTATTCTACTGTGTATTTGCCTATTAGTTTTGATACTAAAACAATATTTGAAAGTTCTTGCCATCAAGTAAAATTGAATTTCAAGGAGGATATTATGCTGGGTTTTCAATTCTCCTGGCACACTGCCAGGACTCCTGGGGAATGTGTATTCCGGATTAAGAAGCACACTTGAGGATGAGTAACCACTGGTGGATTTGAAGGAGGCAGTGGCAGCAACAAACTCGCAGTTAACTGTTTTAAATTTAGACAAGGAATGAATTAATATCACTGGGGTCTGGAAAGGTCTGATGGTGGCCTGGAAGATGGATTGGAGGTGTGAGGATGGAAGAGGGAGAATGGGCTGTTCAGGGTACCACTTCGATGGTGATACAAACTATTGAGGAAAATTCCATTTTTGGACTTGGTATTTGAGTAGATAACATTATTATTTATTGAGATAGGTATATAAACAGAAGATTTTCAATTCTGCACAAGGAAGTTTGAGTTGAATTGGGGATATATGGGTGGAGACACTCAATAGAAAGCTGAATG